ACTCATTACATCTACTGGATGAGTGACTCATCAAGCAGATGTGATTTTCAGTGTCATGGAATAGAATGAGCCATGGAAGTTGGCGGCTTATCCTAGTCCTCACTTACAGAATGAGTAGTTGGATCAGATGCATTCCAAAGAAAAGGGACTACTGTATAAATGAAGCTTTCTTTTTCATAAACCTAATGGTAACCACACACCCAAAACCCAAAACTGAAGCACATAGCTTAAAAAAGGAGGAAATATAAGAGCGAAGTTGATGTGTTATTTTTACTCTATAAAGTGAGTGGAAAATAATTTTCACTATTTAATAAAATGGTAATCCTATACTGATGAAAATGCAGTTTTTTGTTTTTTTTAAAAAATATATATTTTATTGATTTTTTTACAGAGAGGAAGGGAGAGGGATAGAGTTAGAAACATCGATGAGAGAGAAACATCAATCAGCTGCCTCCTGCAAACCCCCTACTGGGATGTGTTCACAACCAAGGTACATGCCCTTGACCGGAATCGAACCTGGGACCCTTGAGTCCGCAGGCTTACACTCTATCCACTGAGCCAAACCGGTTAGGGCAAAAATGCAGTTTTTATATTTCTGTCCCAGAATGTAAGAATTCATGATTCATAGTTTTAATTTGGTTTCCCTTAAGCAAAAGAACATGACATTATTGCTGTTCTTCCTAGGAGAAAACATGGACAGGTTTTTAAAAATATATATACAGAAAAGATGTCTAAGATGCCAGGTGCTTTTAGCCATCAGTGATTTCTAAAAAGAGCAAATGATTACTTTTCACAAAAATTTTAAAAACTAAATGAATAGAATAAAGGAGCAAATGACACATGTATTTCTGTTTCTGAACTTAATACCTGGAAAAACAAAAAATGCTGGGAAAATATAAATAACACCTTTAAAATTAATGTCTGTGCTGGTTAGAACTTAGTGGAAATTTCCAAGGTTGAAAGGAAACTGAAGCAGTAACCTTGAAAAATAAGTTAGCACCAACGCCACTACATATGAGGGCCACATCCTCAGGGAAATAATTAACAAGGAAAATCTCCTTCATAAAAGAAAACTTGTCTAACTGGCTCTGGGGGCAAGGGACAGAAATTCTAAGAATCTGTAACCATAGACTTCTGATGGGGCTTTCAGCCTAAATTTATAGAATCAGAAGGACCTGAAAACCTCCAAACCAAGAAGAATTTAGCTTATAGTGCTCTCATGGGTTGGCAGTATTCCCAGGAACCTGGTGACAACACACAAAGGGCTTCTCTACATAAATGTATCTTCAGCCCAGGCCTCAAAGAAAATTCCACAGAAAAACAAATATGAAGTCGCACTTTTAAAAGTTTTAAAATCATAAAATCATGAGAAAAGGCACAATGAGCAAAAAGGCAATTGAAGCAACAAACATTCGTCAGACCAGCAAAGGCCTCTGAAATTGGAATTATCAGATGCAGAATATAAAATAAGTATATTGTTTTTTGAAGAAATAAAAGGGAAAGGAAAGTATTGATAAGGAACAAGACATCAAAAATAAGCAGGCAATGGAACATCATCTTGTGTAAGAAGGAAAGGAAATGCTCAAAAAATTATGAGGGCATGTCATAAGGACACAAGAACCAACTTGTAGAGGCTCCATTGGCCAAAGCTGGGTTAATTTGAATATCAGAATAATTAAATACAGTAATTATAGACCACTGGAATTAGGAAAAGTAGGAATTCAGGAATCTCTAATCATAATAAACAAATACGTGGGGAAGAAGAGAGGGTTCTTCCTTATAGTGGAATGCCAAGTGCTGTTAGTTGTCAAGGAGGCAGGAAAATAGTCATTTTGCATTGTGAATGCTTAATGTTGGGTACATGGTTGAGTAGCATATTTGCATGGTTTTAAAATACCTACCCACAGATTGCTTATTAGTGACAAGGTTAAAAAAAAAGTACAT